TATATATATATATATATATACATACATATATATAAAAACAACACTGTTCACTAATATGATGCCACATATGTGGCCAAAATGACAAGCCTAAAAAATACATTTTTAAATGAGAGCAAACCCTTGAATCATGCAAATTCAATACAGGTTTAAAAATAAATAAATAAAAGTTTTTCTCATAACATTCTCTTCTTTCTATGAAACGGAGAGCCTAGCACTTCTTAAATTAATCCTCCTAATCTGGCTGATTCATGAGTCTGTGAAAATACAGGTTGCTTTAAATCTAGTTCTCGCCCTGCTCCACGCCATTGTAATGATAGCTGGATTATCTTGTAAGATGGGTGATGTATTGAGCTTTTTACTCATTCCTTTGGCCCTATGTTTACAATCTGCTAAATATGTATGTGAGTCGCTTGAGCAAATGAAACTGTAAAGCTCAGTCCCAGAGTATATTACAAACATGAGCGCTCATGCTGTAGGATGAGGCCGGGGTCTTACTTTTACATTTCGACCAATATTTTTACTATCAACCTCTGTCTTTTCATTATATACAGGTGCATCTCAATAAATTAGAATGTTGTGGAAAAGTTCATTTATTTCAGTAATTCAACTCAAATTGTGAAACTTGTGTATTAAATAAATTCAATGCACACAGACTGAAGTAGTTTAAGTCTTTGGTTCTTTTAATTGTGATGATTTTGGCTCACATTTAACAAAAACCCACCAATTCACTATCTCAACAAATAAGAATATGGTGACATGTCAATCATTTAATCAACTCAAAACACCTGCAAAGGTTTCCTGAGCCTTCAAAATGGTCTCTCAGTTTGGTTCACTAGGCTACACAATCATGGGGAAGACTGCTGATCTGACAGTTGTCCAGAAGACAATCATTGACACCCTTCACAAGGAGGGTAAGCCACAAACATTCATTGCCAAAGAAGCTAGCTGTTCACAGAGTGCTGTATCCAAGCATGTGTGCTGCAAATCAATGTTCTGAGCTAGATAATAAAAAAAAATAATCATCATCATCATTTACTACATTAAAATGCTCATTAATATAGACCATTTTATTTTTGGCCTTTTTGACATTTTTACTTCATAGGACAGTACAGCGACGACAGGAAATACCAGCAATCTAATATAAATTGTATGTAATTCTAATATAAATGTAATTTATGTAAACACACATCAATTCTAGGCTACATGTGTAAAATACATTTTAAAAAGTATGTCTTTTCATGTTTTAAAACTGTATAAGGTGGCAGTCTGATCTACAGCGATGTTTCACGGTTGAACAGCAGCTTTAGGATAAATGTATTGAGACATTGACTCAGTCTTGATTCAGTGCTTTAGATCTATTCTAGGTTATATTTCTAATTAAATAAAGAGGACACCTCATTTAATCGAGTAAAATGAACTTTTCATCGTAATTATTTGCCTAACTCCTAATTAATCCCATTGGCACCTAACAGATGAAGGGTTTAGAGGCAAGTTAATAAAGCAAGGTGAAAAGCAGTGAACTCTTTAACCTTCAACCACTGGCAGTCATTAGAAGAGGACGACTGCACTGCACTCACTGCAGAGCCAGAGTTACTCAACACTGTAGCTTATTCTGACTGGAAAAGACTGACTAAGTCACACGTAACACAGTCAGGTAGAGTTTTCTCTTTTTTAAGATGCTTGGTCAGGATGGGTCGTTCTTATAGAAGCATAAAAGTGAATGAAGACATGTCCTCCATGCAACTGGATATACATTGCAAACACTGAAAATCTGTAACTCTGGAAACACCTTTTTAAAGATTTTTTTCTCTAAAATTAAAAGTACCATTCGAAATACTAATACACATATATACACAACGGGTCAAAAGTTCAGATTTTTTTCAATGTTAATGAAGTCTTTTCTGCTCACCAAGGCTGCATTAATTTGATTAAAAATACAATAAAACAGCAATATTGTGAAATATTTTTACAATTTAAAATGAAGGATGGACGGACGGAGAGACAGATGGACGGACGGACGGACGGACCGATAGACGGATGGATGGAAGGACAGATGGACGGACGGACAGATGGACAGACAGACGGATGGATGGATGGACGGATAGACGGACAGATGGATGGACGGATAGACAGACAGATGGATGGACGGATAGACGGACGGACGGATGGACGGATAGACGGACGGACGGACGGACAGTTGGACGGACGGACAGACGGATGGACAGATGGACGGACGGACTTAACTTTTATTTAATTGATAAAGGTTTAATAATTTAATAACTGGTAATAACTGAGCTGCAAATCAACATATTAGAATGATTTCTGAAGGATCATGTGACACTGAAGACTAGAGTAATGATGCTGAAAATTAAGCTTCAATTGTATTAATACTTCACAATTTTCCTGTTGGTTTTTTTTTTTTTTTTACAGTATTTTTGATCAAATAAATTCAGCCTTGGTGAGCGTAAGACACTTTCATAAATGTTTTTAAAAAAATCTTAATTACTACAAACTAGACTGGTAGTGTATAATATCTAGTATATTATCCTAAAATACAAACATTGCACATACACAACAGGTTCAAGGAGCCCTTCTCAAAAGAGCAGCACGCCCCACGGCGCCCAGCAATACTCCTGGTCAGCATTCCAGACATGTCACTTCCTCTTTAAATCCACCAACCTTCACCCATGATCAAGGCCACCATCCCGAACCCTGCTCATCGACATGACATGGGACGTTAATACACACATGCTCCCAGGCTCTTCCTCCAAACAAACCCAGCTCCAATTCTAACACACACTGTGTCTAGAGCAGGCCGAGAAAGAAGAAAAGAAAAAAACACAGGCTGAGGAAAACATCAGTGTGTGATCCTGTTTTGGTTACCCTCCTCTTGCCACGGATTAGCTGTTGTTTTGCACGATCCACTTAAGAGAAGTGCATGATTTTGACCTCAATTATATTGTTCAATATTTGAGTCAGAGCGCTGAGATCAGGAGCCTCCAGTTACATCATCAAAGGTTAAATGGAAGACTAAAAGACTAAACTACAAGATCTCGCAAATAACTAAGCAGTGGCAAAGTAAACATAA